CCGGACACAACATCTTCGTTTGTATGTGGTGCTGAGGATCGAACCCGGGCCGCACGCATGCCAGGCGATCGCGCTACTGCTTGAGCCACATCCCCAGCCCCTTGCATAAGCTTTAAATTAAAATTTTTTTCTTTTTCTTTTACTCATTTATTTCTTTTTGTAGTGCTGGGCATTGAACACAGGGGTGCTCTACCACTAAGCTACATCCCCCAGCTCTTTTAGATTGTTTTTTGATACAGGGTCTCAGATGTTGAGGCTAGCATCTAACCTGAAATCCTCCCGACTCAGTCTCCCAGGTAACTGGGATTACAGGTGGGTGCCACTGCATCAGGTGATTTTTTTCATTTTTAAGTGGAGTAAAAACCATAAAATTGACCATCTGAACCATTTTTAATGATTTAGTTTGGTAGTGTTAACTATATACATATTGTTGTACAACAAATCTCAAGAATTTTTCATACACTATATACAGTAAACAACTCCTCTTTTTCCAGCCCTTCCCACCACTGGCAACCATCATTCTACTTTCTGTTTACCAGTTTGACCACTTTAGGTACCTCATATAGTTTTCATCTTTTTGTGACTATTTTCATTTACTATAAGGTCATTGAGTTTCATCCATGTTGTAGCATTTGACAGAATTTTCTTCTTTTTTAAGACTCATTTCCATTGTATGTATATACCACATTTTCTTTGTCCATCCACCTGGTGATGGATATTTGGTGTTTTCTCCTTTTGGCTCTTCTGAATAATGTTGCTTTGAACGAGTAAATACCCAGAAAGTAGATGGTCTCCAGAGGTTCTTTGTGATTATTGAAAATAAGTTACAAATCTTGTGCTAAGCTACCCCAGTAGCCAAAGTAAAGAGGTAAACATTAGGCATGAATCAGTATCCCAAGCTGAATGTGGTTGCCTGTGACTTGTAGTCCTGTCTACTCAGCTGAGGCAGGGGGATTGAGAGTTCAAGACCAGTCTTGCCAACATAGACAAAAAAAAAAAAAAAAAATCACACCATCCTTAATATACAGATAAAATGATTGCTCAAGAGAAGTAACTTTTTCTTTTGCAGTACTGGTCATTGAACCCAGGTCTTGGGCATGCTAAGCAAGAGCTCTATTGCTGACCTATGCTCCCAGCTCCCAGCCCTGAAATGAACTTTTTCTTTATCTTGGTTTTATTTATTTATTTATTGGTACTAGGGATTGAAAGGAGCACCGTACTACTGAGCTACATCCCCTGCCCTTTTTTATTTTGAGACAGGGTCTTGCTGAGTTGCTTAGGCTCACCTCAAATTTAGAATCCTCCCACTTCAGCCTCTGGAGCAATTAGGATTATAGGCATGTGCCACCATCCCCAGCTTGAAATGGAACTTTTTGTGAGAGAAATGTCTTGTGTAAATTCATTTTTTTTTAATATTTATTTTTTAGATTTAGGTAGATGCAATATCTTTGTTTTTATGTGGTGCTGAGAATCTAACCCAGTACCTCAGGCATGCTAGGCAAGCTCGCTACCACTTGAGCCACATCCCAGCCCTCAAGTAAATTCTTATAAAGAACACTTTGGTGCTGGGGATGTGGCTCAAGCGGTAGCCCGCTCGCCTGGCATGCGCGGGGGCGCTGGATTCAATCCTCAGCACCACATACAAATAAAATAAAGATGTTGTGT